GCGTCTCCTGATTTCCTGGCCACAGTCTGCATCTGCACTCATCTTTGCGCCTAGAAATACAAAGTCTGTCATTATTAGCATAGCAATATTTAGTAATATTAATATACTCTAATATTATTAGTAGTATGACATGTAATATAAAATATATAATAATTATATTGCATTATTAGTGGTGTTATAGTGTATTACATTTTAATATGATTATCAATATTATATGTGTCTACAATATATTAGATGGATGGATGGCATCCTTGAAGTGACTGGACTGACCTTGAAGGAGCTGGGGGTGGTGACGGCAGACAGGGAGCTCTGGCATGGGCTGGTCCATGAGGTCACAAAGAGTTGGAGACGACTGAACGAATGAACAACAAACAATATATTATAATATTAGCACAGCGCAATATTAGTATTATATATTACTATATTATTGCTGGGGGGAGGTTGAAATACATAAATATAATATAAATATATGATTAAATATGTCTTAATAATAATAATAATAATTATTTATTTATTTATTTATTTATTTAATTTGATATACTTGTATACCGCCGTTTCTCAGCCTAGCCGGCGACTCAACGCGGTTTACAACAACTTATAACAAACAACAGTTTACAGTTTAAAAGCATAAAAACACGATCCACAATACATGTATCAATAAACAATCCAATTCATCTCTTGACTAAAATCGCGATCCAGTTTCGTCGTCCAAATTGCCAGTCCTTCAATCATTACACTTATTGCACTGAGTTAACCGAACGCCTGCTCAAACATCCAGGTTTTTAGTCTTTTCCGGAAAACCATCAATGAGGGGGCTGATCTTACCTCTATGGGGAGGGCGTTCCATAGCCGCGGGGCCACCACAGAAAAGGCCCTGTCTCTCGTCCCATAATAATAATAATAATAATAATAATAATAATAATAATAATAATAATAATAATCCAGCATATAGATCTCGTTTGCTGTGGCATACTGTGCTTTTGTGTCAGTAAAATAACAATATTTCCCTGTTTCCACCCCAGTGATATCTGGTAATAATAGTAGTAGTAGTAATGTTATACTATTTCTTTGCTGTGACCGCCCGCAGGTGTATGCGCACGCGGGGGCGGCCTTGGACGGGAAGGTGTACATTGCGTGCGGGAGGCGTGAGGAGGAGTACCTGAAGGAGCTCCAGTGCTACGACCCCAAGACGAACTGCTGGGACCCTCTACCCGACAGCCCCTTCCGGCGCGCATGGCACGGCATGGTGGCCATGCTGGGGAAGCTTTACCTCATTGGCGGAAACAACACCGACTCTGGATTCAGGCAGGATGTCCTTGAGGTCAGCCTCCTCTTCTTGTTCTTGTTGTTGTTGTTGTTGTTGTTGTTATTTATTTATACCCTGCTGTATCACCCCAAAGGGGACGCAAAGCTGCTTGACATAAAAGCGTTAGTACAGAATTTGAACATATACAAAAATTTAAACAGAATTAAACACAAACAGCAGTAAAAAAATTCATTTAAAACCCATCAAAACATATTCAAAGTTGGAAGCCACAGCAGCCCTGACTAGATCGGAAACACCTTCCTCTTTAAAGGACTGGGCGAACTACAATTCCCAGAATCGTGGGTCAATCCTCCCCAAACCAGGCCTGTATACACAATTGGCCATGTTGGATGTGTATGCCAAGCTTGGTCCAGATCTGTTGTCAGCTAGGTTCAGTGCTCTCTGGATAAGGTTAAACTACAACTCCCATATGCCAAGGGGAGTCGCCCCCAAATCCTGCCAGTGTTTACAGTTGGTCATGTTAGGTCTGTGTGCCAAGTGTGGTCAAGATCCGTCATCAGCTGGGTTGAGTGCTTTTGGGATGCAGGTAAACTACAACTTCCAAAATCAAGATCATTTTCCTCAAACCCCTGCAGTATGTCCAGTTGGTCCTGCAAATTCCACACAAGGAACCCTGAGATGCCTGAAATCTAGGGTGAAATGTTCCCCTAATGAAAGCATTCCTTGGGTGGTGGGCCGTAGTGTTTGGGGAGGACATTAGCAGGGGTTGGACTACATGTTCCACGGTGGTCACGATGACCTGCAGTGTCAGTGGAGGGAGGGCCTTTGGGGGCTTCTCCGCACTTGGAACTACAGCCTGTTTGTGGAGGCCGGAGGCTGTCTGCGCAAGTGGATCCCTCTGCCACATACGCATACACGCATTTGTCACTTTCATTGTGTGGATGTAGAATATAGATATAGATAGATAGATCATTATCCTCTTGCAAAACAATGGCTGCCAGAAAAAGAATTGCCATTGGATTATAGTGGTTTTGTTGTGGTCATTGTAGGTGTCCTGCTACTCCCCGAATTCAGCGCAATGGACGACAGTCTCCCCGCTCAGGTTCGGACACAGCAAACCGGGCATTGCGACCCTCGACCGCCGCATCTACGTCTTGGGGGGCCAGTCCTTCAACCACGGGCGCCTCTCGGCCGCCGTCCACATCTACGACGCGCTCCAGGACCGGTGGGAAGACGGCCCCTCCCTGGAGAACGACGTGTCTGGGATCGCGGCCTGCACCCTCACCCTGCCCCAGGCGGTGGTCCTCGATGTCCAGCGGTGGTCGCCAGACAGATGGTGGCGCGAGGGCGGAGGGGACCTCTTTTCCTGAGGGCGGGAGCGTCTTGGACAATGTCAAGGAACTGCGATGGGTACCTGGTGGGATTCTTGGGTTGTGCCTTCCTCTTCGTGGCCCTCCTTCTCCTATCGGGAAAACAGCATGGCAAAACTTAGCTGATACTTCCTTGTTGTTTACCTGTGATCCTCTCCTATTATGTCAACAAGGAGGATTGGGGGGGGGGGGAAGGGGGGATCCGTCCTCTTCGTGGTCCTCCTTCTTTTGGGAAAATGGCATGTCAGAACTTGACGTCTCATTCCTCCGATCCGAAAATGGCATTTTGACGGCTACATCTTTGTTGTCGAAGCATTCTCTGCATATTTGTAATGCCACTTTGGATTTCAGACCACAGAATTTTGAGGAACCGATTGCCAATTTGTGGGACGCGCGGTAACGGACTGTTTTTAATGAGGAGAAGCAAACAATAAAGAGCTTTTTTAAACAAGGAGCAATAATTAAAATATTATAGGACAGGCGAGGGCCAACCCTATTCTGACTTACAAAACCTATCTTGCTCGTAACTTGGGAACTGCCTGTATTTGTATTTCCTGAGGTCAGCTGCCTCTATACACGTTTTCTAAGTTAAAGAAATGCTTCCGTTAGCTTTTTCTGAGGCAAGAGAAACTTATTCTGAGGTAAAAATGGCTGCTATTCACATTTCCTGAGGTACATTTTGCTTCCCTCAGCCTCTTCTGAGGCAAAATAATCATTTTCTGAGGGAAAGGGTGCCCCATCCACGTTTCCTGAGGTAAATTGTGCCTCCCTTGGACTTGCCTGAGGTGGACCCAGCCTTTGCTGAGGTGAAACCTTCCTCCAATGGGGAGGGGTCCCAACCACAACCTCCTCCTCGACCTCTTGGGCCGCTCACTGGGTTGCTGTGGTGGGTGCATGTGGACGTTCTCCTGCAGGGCCTCCTCCACTGGCCCCTCTCCGCCTCGGAGAACACCTGTGCCTCCTGGTGAACACCTGTGCCTCCCGCTGCATCAGGCACTCTGTCTTGATGGAGAAGGACCAAGGCTCTTAAGTCTGGGCCTGTCCTACCTGGCAGTGTTGTCGTACTGATGGAGAAGGACCAAGGCTCCTAATTCTGGATCTGGCCTACCTGGCAGGCCCTTCCCCCCAAATACACTTGGCTCTGGGCTGCTCGAGAAGGTCTGTGGGCAGGGCAAGTGCAGCAGCTTTTGGGACACTCTCCCGGGACCATCTTAAGGGATGGAATCTAGCCCCCTTCTGCATTAAAGGAGGACCCCTCCTCCTCTTCCAAGGCCTCGATTCCACCGTTCATACTCTGCTGCTGCCCCACATTTCCAGCAGCCTTTAAAGTGTCTCTGTTTCTCTTGTCTCCCAGTCCTCCCATCACTATTGGCTTCCTTCCTTTATGGGAATTGTGGTCCAAAATACTAGCGTTTCCATTTCATGGGAGACACAAGGGTTGCTGTTGTTGATGGTCTTCAGGGTCCCTTCTGACACACGGCATGGCAACCCTCAGGTGGACCTCTCTTGGGGTTTTCTCAGCAAGGATGTTTCTGAGTGGGTGGCCCTTGCCTACCTCTGAGGTTGAGGGGAAGTGACCCTTGGTGGGCCCCAGTGGCTAAAGGATGGGGGTTCAGAGCCCGGGTTTCCCATGGCCCATCCCTGGCTCTCTTTCTGTCAATCTCAGGAAGGTCTAGCCTGAAGGACTCCCATCCAGGTCCTCACCAGGGCTGGCCCTGCTCCACTTCTGGCTGGAAGGGCCTCTCTCAGGAGGGACTGCGTCCTGCAAGGCTGCTTGCATGGCTTTCTCTCTCCCCTTCCACACCCCATTATTTCTTTATTGGCAGTTTCCAAGGTAGAGAGACCAGAGGGGCATCTCGTGGACAGTGACCACCACAGAGCAGAAGGACCTCAAGGGGACAATGGCAACAACAGACTAGAAGGACTTCTAGAGGTCAATGAGAGGGACAGACCAGAGGGGTCTCTAGTGGACAACGACAATGAGACCAGGGGGGCCTCCATCTGCAGATGAGGGGAGCCACCTCTCTGCTCCTTTATCCATTGTAAGAGAATGGGGAGACGTGGCCACCAGAAGACACCATCCAAGCCTCCACTTCAGGGTGGGGGCTATCATGACACAGACGACCCCCAAATTTATTTCTCCATGCTTTCAGAAACTGCTTCAGTTAAAGGTAGTGTGTCTCCTCTGAATGAATGTCGGAAGGAAGGAAGGAAGGAAGGAAGGAAGGGGCTGCCAGAGGAAGGACACAGTGAAACTGAATCCAGGGAAGACGTGAGATTGCCCTCAACCCTGAAGGAGATGGAGGTGCCACCTTGGAAAATGCATACAAACACAACCAGGGGGGTCCTCTCCTCTAAAAGACTGTGTCCTTCAGGGATGACTGGTTTTGCAGCTTGGGACAAGGCCTCTGGGACCATCCTTCCAAAGGTCAGTCCAGGGAACTGGACAACAGTCAGGACAGCATACTCCTAACTTTGGACAATGTGCCAGATGCGGCCCTCACTTCCTAGAACTGGAGGAGCTAAAGATGGTAGTGCATGTGCTGCTCACCTCCATGCTGGAGGTCTTCAATGTGCTATACATTGGGCTCCATCTGTACCAAATTCAGAAACTCCCAATGGGTTCAAAACATGGCAGCCAGGCTAGTCCCAGGATTATCCAGGAGTGAGCATATCCCTCCCCCCCAAATTAAACTCACTCCATCGGGTGCCAATTCGTTTTTGGACAAAGTACAAAGTATTTGGGTTGTTGTAGGTTTTTTTGGGCGATATGGCCATGGTCTAGAGGCATTCTCTCCTGATGTTTCGCCTGTATCTATGGCAAGCATCCTCGGAGGTAGTGAGGATGCACTACCTCTGAGGATGCTTGCCATAGATGCAGGCGAAACGTCAGGAGAGAATGCCTCTAGACCACGGCCATATCGCCTGAAAAAACCTACAACAACCCAGTGATTCCAGCCATGAAAGCCTTCGACATTACAAACTATTTGTTTGGACCTCTAAAGCTCTGTGTGGTTTGGCTCCAGGTTCCCTCCAGGAAGGCCTTCTCCTGCACCATCCAGGGCCCTTTGGACACAGAGGTCTTCTGTGGGGTGGCTGCTCCAGGCATAGACAGAACCGACTGGCGACTGTCAACCAGAGGACCCCTTTCCATCAGCCCCCAAAGAAGTCTGTGGGATGAATGGTCTGCCGAAGGAAGAGATCCCACCGCAGCTACATCAGCTGTCAGACTTTAAGATGCAACTGGAGACGCATTTCTTCTGGCAGGAGACCAACCCAGTTTGAAGTCGTGATTTTGTATCTGCACCTCATCCGTGTGCATTTCATCACTGTATTCGAACTGTGTGCATCTTGTATGTATTGTAATAGTTTTATCTCATTTGTAGGGATATAAAGATGCTTATTTATTGTCCTCCCAGCCTTGTTTTGGACCACTGCACCTCAGGTGGAAGGAGGCCCAAGGGCTGCCCTGTCTCTGCAAGGCCTGGGCCAGGGTGAGGGGCCAAGGGGACCGGGAGGCCGGTCCCAAGAAGGCAAGGGAGCAGCAGGAGATCGAGGATCAAAGAGAAACCCGACAGATTCAAAATTCAGAAGGTAGGACTGTTTAATTTTAGGTCTTGCAGCATGTCTGCACTTGAAAGCATACCGTTTTGATATAAGCACAGCATACCTGAAGAATAATAATAACAACAACTTTATTGTTGTACCCCACCTCCATCTCCCCAAAGGGACTCGGGGTGGCTCACATATGGCACAATAGGCCTAAAACAATGCATAAAATAAACACACAATATAATACAGAGAAAACCAATAGCATATAAAACAAAGTTTAAGCGCAAAATAGCGGCCATTAACCTACAAGGGGCGTTCATCAAAGATTTCCCTTGAGGACCCACTTCCTGTGGACTGAGAGCAATGAAACTTGGCCCAGTCCTGAGTCCTTCTCTCCACTGGTGTCATCTCAGGACACACACTTCGCCCACCTTTTTAAGCAACTGTGAACACCTCACTTGTAGAAGTGAGCAGGCTGCTCCACAAGCCACGTTGTGCCTTCAGAAATCAGAGTCTCATCATCTGAAAAATGTTTGCCCTTCAAAAATAACTTCCTTGTTGGAAAGAGGTGGAAGTCCGATGGTGCGAAGTGGGGTGAATAAAAGGGGGATGCGGTAGAATTTCAAAGCCATAGCAGCATGCTTCTTCCATTTGGGCAACAGGCAAGTTGTGAACTGGTGCACTGACTTGCAGAAGGTGGACAACTTTGGTGAGCATGCTACATTGTCTCACAGTTTGAATAGCCTCCCGCAATTTCCACACCAGCGATGCATAGTATGCCCCAGTGATCATGGTCCCCTTTGCTAGGAAATCCACCCATACTACTCCATGCTGGACCCAACTCTCGGCATGACCTTGCCTGCTGAGAGTTGGGCACGTGCCTTCTTTGGAGGCAGTGAGTCAGGATGCTTCCATGGCATCGACTGGACTTTCATCTCAGGATCTGAGTGATGAACCCAGATTTCATCCTGTTCGATAGTCTGTTGAAAAAGTCCTCCTGGTTTCCATGACACATCATTTCCCCTGGAATTGGAGCTGTTTTCACTGAAATCTGACCACATTGGAATGTACGATGCCAGTTCTTGACTCCATCATATGATGGGGAATCATCACCATAAACCTCTTTCATCTCATGTGTACAGAAGTTGATTGTAAATGATATGATTATAAACTGTATTGAATGTAAATGATATTATTATAACTGTATTTGTGTTTACACTGGTTGCCCTAATGCTGGAGCGGCCTAGCTGTGAGGAGTGTGTTACCATGGAAACAATGCTGTAGAGAAGTGGGAGGAGCTTAGAGAGGGGAGTTTTGAAAAGCGACAGTTAAAAGTTAGTTAGGTTTTATGCTCAGAGGAGTGAAGAGTCATGAAGAGTTAGGGTTTAGGCTCAGAAGAGTGCACAGTCATGAAGAGTCAGGGTTGAGGCTCAGAGGAATGAAGAGTTAGGTTTAGGCTCAGGGAAGTGAAGAGTTGAGAGAGAGAGAGAGTGGGAAGTAGAGAAGCAGTGTTTGTGAATAGTCGGAGGTTTCTTCAGTTCGGGAAAGCTGAAGGGGAAACCTTATTAGTTTTATTAGTTAGAGAAGACTAATAGAAGCTAGT